ATCAAGACAGTAATTATAGAAAAGTATTTTCAAATGGGGTTTAAATTTGATCCAATTACCGAAGAAACATTTGTCCCAACATCGGAGGAGCTAATTGAATTAGGTATTTAAAATAATAAAATATTATTTATATATTTATTCATAGCATTATAAATGTTTTTATTAATCTAGAGTTAGAATTTAGAGGAACAAATGAAGAGCCTCCAACGCCAATACAAATAGAAACTCATTAAATTTTACAAAAAAATTGATTTTATCTTATAATAATGTATAAATTATTATTGTAATTATTTTATCAAATTTACGTAATTTTATAAAACTTTAAATAATTATTAAACATAATAATTTTATTTTATTTTTAATCACATCGTTAACTAATTTTAACTTAGTATGGTAAAGCACTGAATATTTTTTCAATGTTTTATTATATAATAAAATAATATTGAGTTTCATTTTATCTTCAGTGAGAAACTGAGAAAACATTATTTTTTCAAGGTTTATTTAGGTAGGTAGATTATGGGATTTTATTATTTTTTTTAAAATACCTTACAAAAATTTGCTATAGAAATGAGGCCACCGATTTTCATTAAAGATATATAAATCTAACTTGCATTTGATATAAATTTAAACTTATTTTGAATATTTTGCTTCAACTAAATTAAGAGAAATGACTGAATTTCTAAACTAGCTTAAAATATTTTTTTCTTAGCTTTTTTTAATTAAATATCTTTGCAAATAATAGCAGTATTAAATTCGTTTTTTTAGTAAATTCACAGTAAAATCATATCACTAAAATGAAACATTTTTTATTGTTCATAGACGAATAAATCAATACGTTACTAAACCAAATTTTTATGCTGATTTCAAACCTGAAATTAGATTTTTTTTTTATGACCTCATTTTTTTTTAAGTATATAGTAATTCTAGTACAATTATCAAAGAAAATAATGTTAAATTATCTATTAATCACTTAAGGTACACTTTATGTAACTGTTATTTTTGTTAATATTGAATAATATTTCAATTTGTTTTCTTGCATACTTAAAAATATATTTTGTTAAATTGTTTTTCAAATAAATTAAAAATAGAATAGTGTCGGTAATATTATTATGATTTATAATGAAAAATTTTAAATTACAACATATTGAAAATTATTTATATTATACATGTATTTGTTAACTTATATTACAAATATTACTATAAAAAATGTTATCTAATGGAAACTAATTTTTCAATATGTACCATTATTAAAAACGAATTTCATTTTCTTTACTTAATAAAAAGCCTATAAACCAATAGTCACACTGATATCACGAGGGAGGCATAATGATACCCTCTTAATAGAAAACAGCAAGGAATCGTTGGATTATTCCAAAAGCAACATCAGTAATAATGGTATGATGTGTTTTTACCCTTAAAGGTTCCAACAAGTGAAATTGATAGGGTTGAGAGTATGAGTATTTTAGTGGTCACGTCACACAGGTGGTGTGATAACCCAAGTTAAATCAGTGATGGTGACGTCAAAAGATAGTGCCAAGATAGTGTGAGGGGGCCATTCGTGATGACGTCAAAATAACGGTAACTATGGGTGTCCCCTCCAGGTGTCGGTTAATAAAGAATACAGTGTTTCTAGTAGGATATGGTTTACATTTGTTGTTTACATAGAAATAAATAAAAATCATAATCAAATTGTCGATATCTTAGTTGCATTTTTGACTCTCACACTTCTAATGTGTTTTTGTTGTTGTTATGGATTATG